AACGCCCAGAATATCGAATCAGAGTTGCTGGGAAAATACAATAGTAATCTTGTAATAGATCAATTACTTTTCTCTTGCTCTGTAGTGTTCAGTAACTTGTGGCGAAGGACGTAAAAAGCGCAATGTTAAGTGTAGTGCAGGATCAAAGAAATGCAACCCTGCGACTAGACCGCAGACCTCTACGAGTTGCAACCCTGGTGCTTGTCCACAATGGAAAGTAGCGGAATGGTCACAAGTAAGTCCATTGACTATTTACAATGGCACACCCACCCCTCCAGACCTATGGGGTCATTTTACCGCCTGTCTGACGACGAAAATTGTTGTGATGACAGGATACTTTTTTGTCGGTCAGTTTGGAGTATTTAGAGTTTACTTGTCTTCAAATATTGCATCGATTATATACCCATAAGACTGAAAAAAGGAAAAAAATATATTTTCTTTTCATTGCAGTGTTCTACTTCTTGTGGGGAGGGATTCAAAGAGCGTGTGGTCGAATGCGACGGGGGACCGAATACTTGCGACCCTGAGGCCAAACCGACCAACAGAGCCCGCTGTAACTTGGGACAGTGCCCACACTGGAAAACAGGAGAATGGTCTGAGGTAGTATGGTTATCTTTATTACATCTCTTTTAAGATCTATCATTGTCGAAAGTGAGAGATTTACTGGTAGTTTTGTGTACTAGAGGACCTTCAATTTTGCCTGCTGTTTACTTAAAAGAAACCTTCATTTGATTTGAATAAACTTTTAGAGTAAACCTTTTTCTGTCGCTACTTCTGAAAGGTGTTACACAAATTCCTCCAAAATCTGTGCCACCTTTCTGAAATACAATTTGTTTTACAGTGTTCGGTGACTTGTGAAAACGGATATAAACAAAGACGGGTAGAATGTGTCAGCGGAGTGAAAGCAACGTGTGACGAAAGAACTAAACCAGGATCGAAAGTTCCATGTAAGCTTGGGCGGTGTCCAAGATGGAACACTGGAAGATGGACGCGTGTAAGTTACCTGACAACCCATTTCGCTAGTTTGTTTTCTTTTTGATCGATGGATTTATACAATCACACTTAATCGTTTGAAAAGTTTATCAAATAGTCCAGTTATTTTTGAAGAAGTTGCAATTATACCTTTGTTATCTATCATCATTTTTTAGACCAAATATGGTCTAAGTGTCTGTCCTCTTTTGTCATAGAAACACTACAGCCTCCTTGAAACATCCATGAGTTAAGCTTTAAGTGTTTGTACGTGTAATTTAAAACCTCGCTCGGTGTCCCCCACTTTTGTTAATTTTTGACAAGTAACCAGTATAGGAAGATTCATTTTTTTCTTCAAAGGTTAAAAGTAGTAGTTTTGATTCGACAAATTAAAGTGGCTTTAAGGAGTTGTTATATCGATCAATCAAAGAATTGTTTTTTAAAATCAACGAAAACACGTTAAAAAACCTAATAATGTGGTCCATGTTTTTGCAGTGTTCCCGCACATGTGGAGAAGGGCTAAGGAGACGATATGTAGGCTGTTTTTCTATGGAACTTTATCGCGTATTGAATGACGAGGCAGCTTGTGACATGACTTCGAGGCCGCCTTCAACTCAAGTCTGCAAGATCAGTGAATGCGCCCCAACGGATGCTGACTGGCGCATGGGAGACTGGGGCGAGGTAAGAGTTGCAATAACAGAGCTACATACTTAAGAAAATATGAAGATAAAGGAAACCTAATAAATGTATGATTTGCAGAGTGTCGAAGGTAAAAATAAAAATGAAAACCATACCGTTGAATTATTTCTCAGTAAAATGAAACTTGCATAAAGAGTGCCACATTAGGTTTTCAGTCAGGGACTAGAATGTTTCCATCACGTTTGATAGTGTGACATATAAACAGTAGCTCTCATCGGAATACTCACACATTAAGGTTTTATCCAAACTTAGATCCACTTCGCAATACAATTCCTTCGTCTTCATTATTTGGCAAGTTGCTTCTTTAAGAATTTAAGAATTTTTAATGATAATTTTGCAGTGCTCTCGCAAATGTGGGAAGGGAATCAGGAAAAGAAACGTTGAATGTTTTTCAATGGAACAGCAACGCAAATTGGAGGACTCCGCTTGCACATTGGAGTCGAAGCCAATGGTCCAAGACGACTGTAAACTGAGAGAATGCATCCCTGACGCCAAATGGCGCAAAGGCGCTTGGGGCAAGGTAAGAGAACATCCTACATGATATTGGGGGAGGTTTGTATAGGTAATCGCATGGGGCCGAGTAAAATTAAGGATTAATATCACGCTTGTTTTCGGAAGTTGCTGAAATTGCCCGAGTCGCGCAGGGAGGACTAGAATATCGTGACCCGCGATAGCCTTTCAACCAATCATGTGTAAACTAGAACCAGTTGTGACTTAGTTACTTAAATTTTCCCATTCTTAAGGCAGTTTGCTTATTGCTATCGTAAACTGACTGGCTCCATGTTAAGTATTTTTTGTTTTTAAAATAGCTCGTAGCGCCCCATCAAGGATTCTCCTGTACAAGAGACTATATTTGTTAAAGTAGTCTCACCTTTCTTTTTCTTTTCTTTGTTTTTACTAGTGCTCAGTCTACTGTGGAATTGGTAAGAAATCCCGTGATGTTTGGTGTGGCACTAAAAACGGGGAAAAAATTGCCGAGGAGTTTTGTGCGGACGAACATAAACCTCGAACACACCGATCTTGTAACAAGCGACGACGCTGTGGTGAATGGGAAAGCGGACTATGGAGCGAGGTAGCTACGCCTCTTTTGATATTTTCACCTCAGAGAGCAATTTAGTTTCCTCTCCATTTAGTCGCGCCCGATAAATTTTGACCGAAATGTGAGAGCGAGAAATCGCTTGTGTGAACGAGAAGTAGTGCGCGAGAACTCGAGCGAGTTTTGGTGTTTGCTCGTCTCGCTTTTTCATTCTCTCCAGCGCATGCGCCTTACCCTCTTGTAGAACGCCTAACATGTCAACTATTTGAGAGTGTGTGTCAGAGACCAAATGGTTAAATCTCTAAAGAGCAGTTAAATTACAGTTTTTCAATTGTCATTTACATTTATTCTAACAGTGTTCACAAACGTGCGGAGAGGGTACGAGAAGACGTTACATTAGATGTCTTCACGCGCTGGAGTACAAAGGAGACATGTTTTGTGATAGGAAGAGGCGGCCAACAGAAATGCAGCCTTGTAACAAAGGGGCATGTCTTCCCACGCTGTACCGCTGGCAGGTTTCTGGCTGGAGTAGGGTATGCAATGGTACCAATTCAATCTTATCTCACGCACATTTCAACTGGCACACACTTAGGGTTATTTGCAGACTTAACACTTAGAAGCACGTCGTAAAGTATGTTAAACAGTTCTAGATGATAATACAGCTCATGAATTTTCATGTCAATGCTCGCCCCTACACGTAGAAATGAGCACTACTTTAAAGCGAATAAACAATGTCCAAAGAAATTTTATCTATCCAATGAGAATTCAGGTCCTAAAAACGATCCTCGCGTTTCAGGTTTGACAAAGAGCCATGCTCAAAGTCTGTGTTAGAATGTGTTAGCCTTCTTTTTCTATGGTCTTCTTTTTCTATGGTGTAGTTTATAAAAAGAATTTTTATAAACTACACCAGTAGCCACCGGAAATAGCTGCTGGTAGATTGGTTTTCACGTACCATTTGAATATCTGTAGAACGCCTTGCTTTGTTTACACTCCTAGTGTTCTACCTTGTGTGGGTACGGGAGAAAGTTCCGTAATACTTGGTGCGTCGACTCATCGATAGGACAAGTTAGTAATGAACTATGCAGTTTCTCAGCCAAACCTAAAACTGTTTCCTACTGCTTTGAAACGAAGTGTCTACCCGTATGGAAAGCCGGAGATTGGTCGCAGGTGAATCCTTTTACACGTTCTATTATAACTAGTTTTGTTTTAGGGACTAGCGTGGACTGATTAATGAGCTCGTTACGTTTTGAAACTGTTCTTAAACAAGACACGTAATTCTCACCGTGCCGCTCTTAAAACAGAATTTTCAGGGGCTAACAGCGAACTGTCTGAGATTTTAAAAATTGACGAAATTCTAAAGTTTCAACCTGCGATGGGCTGACATGCCATTCGAAGGAAGAAGCAAAACTCGTTTTAGCTTCACAAATCAGAATAAACTCTCGTGGTTTAAGCCATTTTACGTGTACGAACGATATCACTTACTTTTGTTTCGTGGCCATTGGCATGCATACTCGACATAGCATATCTTCATATAGAAAAACTAACATTCCAAATTCCAATTCGATCTGGAAACAGTGGACAAGAAGAGCCACCCAGTGAAATGTCCATTGCTAAACTATTTATTTAATTATTTATTATTTATTTTATTATTATATTATTTATGTTATTATTTATTATTCATTTTATTATTTATTTATTTATTCATAGAAATAAATTTAATTACGTTTTATAATTGATTTTTCACTTTAAATTTCAATAAACTGAAGCCATCCATTCTTGTGCCCACAGTGCACCCAAACGTGTGGACGCGGTCACCAGACCAGAAAAGTGGACTGTGTTGCAAAATATGGTAGAACCCAGTCTTCAGATATGCAATGTGACGAAAGAACAAGGCCTCCCTCGTGGCGGCTCTGTAGCTTGGGACGTTGTGACTCTCGGTTCTGGAGTGTGGGAGTGTGGCGTAAAGTAAGTAAACTAATGTTAAATGGTCTAACTTTTGCTTAACTTAGTTAAACTTTGTCTAACTTAGAATAGCTCGTAGCAAAAATTAGAACCCACTCTAAATTTTCTTGCAGTGCAACGTCAGCTGTGGCCGCGGAAACATGAGCAGAACTGTCATTTGTTCATCCAGAGACGGATCTCAATTCAGGGATTCGAAATGCTCATCGCCTACAACACCCAAACCAGAAACCACTCGACCATGTTCTATGAAACCTTGTAAGTAACCAGAGTTTCTTTTCGCAGCTTTTGCCCCTTATGATGGTTACCTTTGATGTAAGTGGATGTGATATCTCTTTGATGTGACAATAAAAAGCCGGTCAGCGGTCTACCGCCGCTCATAAGACTTCTTACCACCGTCTGTTGAGCCTGCGAGTAGACTCTCGTGATTGGGTTCAATCTCGAGCCCAGGGTCATTTTGGCTTTTTGTCAGCACTATGTTCGCAGAATAATAACCATACCGCTGACAAGGAGCCAAAATGACCTTTGGCTTGAGATTGGTTTGGATTTCGCCTTACGCCCCTCTTGCGGACACAGCCGACCTCAGCTTCAGCCGCTGCGCATGGGAAACGTTATGTAAACCGCTGTTTCAGATACTACTTATGAAAGTGCCCTAATTTTCAACTTAATGATAAATTTTCACAGGTCCGCCAGCGAGCTGTAAGGATATTCAGTTGAACGCTGGAGTGCAACTGGATGGTGAACAGACTTTAAGTGTTCAAGGGAAGGAACTTAACGTAAGTAACCGAGCGCAAATTCCAATTTTCTGAAGCAAGCCTCAGACTAGATAAGGGAAACAGAGATTTATTCAATAGAGCGCTTTTCAATTAAGTATCGAAGAACCAAAAACCAAGGTAAACACCAACGCCAAGAGCTCAAAGGTTGACTGGCCGAAGCGTTGAAAAATCCGAGTGATGCCCAAGCGAAGTAGCACCGCGGTTTCTTTAGAAACTCAACCCCGTTAAAAACTGTAACAGATGGTTTCATTTCTTCTTACAACTGGAGTACAAAATCCTCGCCCAGATTCCACAAAACAATGGTTCTACACCTGCTTGATAAAGCTTATTACAATTTGTTTCTGAAATCTCAGAAAATGGATTTCAAACAGCTTGTAAAGGTTTGATGCTTGAGAGAAGTTTCCATAATCTTTCAAAATTAAACTTAATTTGCTGCTGTTATGTTCAGGTCTATTGCCATGCAATGATGTCAAAGGAGCCTAAAGAGTACATTTCACTATTAACTGGACCCTCCGATAACTTCGCTGAAATACATCCAAAAAGGTAACGTCATTTTCTCCTTCGAAGAGATTTAATCGTTTTTTGCCTTGCCTATTAATGCTGCACTTCCACTAAAGGGAAGGATGTAAATCACAGATGTTGGTCTCAATCCGGGAATTGAAGGGAAAACATCCATTTGAACTCTGAAATATGATAGAGGCTGTCGCACTATTCCATCTTGATTGATCATAAAGGGCTTTTTGATGTCGTCTGAACTGTTTTAGGCCCGTAGTCTGTGTCGTCCACATGGGCGTTTTTTTTTTTTTGCCAAAAAAGTGACCAAACCGCATTTTCAAAGTTATTTTTACAAAGTAAAGCATTGTCCTATACATGAGAATTATTTTGCTTGCAACAAACCAGCCACGAAATATACTTCCAAACAAAGGTACGTTCAGGTTGATTGTAATAGTTCCTTCTGCAGGCTACGTGATCCTAGAAAGTGTCCAACAAATGGCTCTCATTTTGATGCCTGTGATTGTGAAGATGAAGATCATAAAATGTCTGGAGGTTCCTACTTCTCTAAGCTTAGAGTGGACTTGTCTGCCATGAGGATTATTGGTAAGTGACATCAAATTCCCACGTATTTGAGGGGCTAACAGGCGACGTTGCTCCCTTGCACGGTCGCCCCAAGTTCCGTCACCCCTAAGTTTGGTTGTGTCGCCAACAACTTGGAGTTACTTCGCCACCAACTACCTTCTAAGGACTTGCACTTAACATTATGTTGATATTTAAGAGCTGGTGAAAATTGGAATGCCAATACTTAGAAGAACCATGAACCTGAGTACAAAATTTTCGACGAATGAAACGTCGCTTCCAGTAGAATTTTCCAGATGTATTTAAACTGTATGGAATTTGCAAACAAGAAAGGATGAATGTAGTTTTTCTCCTCTCTTTTAAAGTACTAAGCGCATATTCCCCAAATTTTTGTTGATTTCCCCACCTCTTACAACATTTTTTATTATCATTATCATTTGATCCTAACCACAGCTGACGACAAGCAATTTGCAGCAGTAACAGGTTTGAATCCACCTTCTTATGGCACAGCAGGAGACTGTTATAGCGCTCAGGGAAATTGTCCACAGGTGAGAAGAACTGAAATGGAAAGCTAATAATCGTTGTCAAAAGATAGGAAACCTAGAATGCTTGTTAAAAGGACAGCCATAATAACCCTGCGGCAGTGCTCGTGTTTCTCAGCTCGCGAGAGGATTTGAGACCAGTCGGGGAGAGGTTTGCCGGGGATCTGGTAACTAATTATTGTCGCTAGGCCCTTTACAAGACCTCTCCCCTGCTCGCGTTGCTCAAGACCCTCTACATTCCCGCGGGCGAAGAAACGCTCGCGCCGAAACGCTATAAGTGAGGGCTTGCTAGCAGGTTAGCTGATTGGAACAAAGGTATCTATCACAATAAGCCAATGAGATTCCGTAGCAAATACGTATAAACATCCTAAAACGTGGGATACCTAATCGTGATCGGCTTACCTTTACGCTTACCTGATTGGTTTAGAGAACAGCGCCAGTTCTTTAGCCCAATCAAAACTGTATCAAAATTCGCTTGCTTTTAACAGGCTACTCATCTAAGAATCTTGTTCTCATGGCTATCTTTATTGAGTCATTGAAGTTGATAGGCCATTTTACAGTTGTGTACTTAGCTGCCAAGCCTTTGATTTGGAGTGAGGCTGAAGGAGACCTAGTTGGGATAGAGACTGGTATCTAGTTAACACGAAAACAAAGTAATTTGCGTTTGAAAAGCAGCAATGTTTGTATCGTAACAAGTACACCCTTAGCCTCACTCCTGCGCAAAGGCTTGGTTACCAAGCACGCAACTGTAAACTGGACTATTTTCCTGATATTTTACAGGGTCGTTTTAGTATTAATTTACAAGGCACTGGTATTAGACTGACTTCTAAAGTAATGTGGGGTTCTACTGGCCAGGCTTATTCGCAAATTATCTACAGATTCCCGGTGAGTAAACTTTACAAATAGTTTCTATCTGTCTGTTTGTCTGTTCAGATGTAGATCTCAGATGGCGTCAAAATGAACTAAGAACAAAACAGTGCCATACGAACCGCAGGCGAGAGTGTCGCCGATGTCACTAAAAAAAATTCAAACTTCTTTTACGCGCTCTACCGCTAGAGTTCTACATTTCTTTATAGCGATTTTTCCAAGTCGCCAAGAACTTGTCTTTTTTTATTTCCCTTGTACCTTTTTTATTTCTAGGAACCTTATCATTTCTTTTTCACGAAGTTACTCAATGATTGTTGTAACTATGTGTTCAATCGAAGTATAATTTATTTTTTGTTGTTGAACAGGATCGACGTCGAATTATAGGTAAATGCGGCGGTCGCTGTGGATTTTGTAGCCATCAAAATTATGGAGGCTTAATGATAGAATTGTCCGAAGGTGAGAAAAAGATTTCCATTTCTTTGATGTGCACTAAACAAATTTAAATAATCGAAATTATTAAAAACTGGATCATTGGATAATGCAATTCAAGACTTTTTATTGGCATAGCCATTATGGTATATCAGCCAATATACCATAATCTACAAATATGGTAAACGTACGTGTCAGCTTAAAATCAAAAGGGAGCTAAAAATTTAATAAAATTTAATAATTTAATTTAACGTTTTTAATAAAACAATTATTCCACTCGCGCTTGTTGGATATGAGATGATTATAGCCAACTCGGCGCTACGCGCCTCGTTGGCTATCTATCATCTCATATCCAACGCACGCTCGTGGAATAATTGTTAAATAGATTCTCAATTTTTATGTCAATCCCAGACCCCGCCGACCCACGGTTCCCGTTGAATCCCTGTGAGACATGTTCGGAGCTTCCGAATCCTTGTCCCCAGGCTTCACATGACTGTAACTACCACATAATTTTAGCGCACCATGGTCTGCCCAATTTCACTCTCATCCGACATTGAACAACGTCAAAACATTTTCACGGGCCAATACTCTAGGTTTAGAAGATCCTTAAATTTTTCCATAGTTTTGATTTGATAAAGGTTACACACGGTTCCATTTTTTCTTTTTTTGTTTTTCAGATGGAGATGGAGGTTGAACATCCGTACTTGTTCCTAGAAATTTGTTTCATTAGATATATATATATTTCCAAGCATAGGAGTTTTAAACTGAAGTTCTTCTGATGCTAAATTAAGAAAATTAAGAGATTAGACCACTCACAGAAGCCTTTGAGTGTCAAGATTATGTTGATGTTACACAAATGTGATTTTAATTATGTCACATTTCAAACAGTGTCACGCTACATAAAAGCTGTGACGCATTTTATGAGGCCATGCTCAACGATTTGATGTGTGACATCTGGATATTGTGCCTACGATAGGATTGGATGTCACGCAAGTTTGAATAGTCCGCTTAAGAATCGTTAAAAAAAAGGCTTGAAAATGTCCTTTTTAAGAGAGCTTTTGAAGACAAGTATAATCTATTTGAATATAACATGTAAGCTTTTAGATAGGATTTTTGGAAGATTAATATTTCAACCATATATATTAAGTTATTTTTGTACTTATTTTCTTTCTGGATAGGCGAAAATATTTCGTAAGAGACACTTCATCCTTCTGTTCCTTGATGAAGACAGAAATTTTAAAACTGCTTCTTAAAATAGAATTTGAACATTACAACCCTGTCTTAAGCTCAAAAGATCTTCTTTCTGTGAAGAAATTCAGTATTTTTTAATTATTAAATACAGCCCTATATTTTTTTTCGGAAAATCAATGATATTTTTACCAACTGCCTGACCGTTGGGGATAATTAATATATAGTCGGAAATCGGCGGCCTCTATGTCGAAACTCAGATATCGCTAGCGACAAAGTGTCTTATTTAAGAGATTCCTCGTCCACTAATGGCACACACAATGAGAAGCTATTTCTTGGAAGGAAAGAAATATTTTAAATAAAGACAATTAGCATATTTGTCGTTAAGGTGACAGTATCCTAGGAATTGCGCACCCACCCTTGTGCTAGGGGACTGTTTGGGGAGGGGGGGGTGGGTGCGCAGTCGCTCGGATAGTGATCGAGTAAAACTAATCAAATCCTCTTTCCCTGATATAAGATGGCTCTCTCATCTTAGAAAGTTAATTAGTGTATGTCGTTTAGACAGACTATACCAGGTTACTTCATTTTCAGTTAAAATGTTTGTTTGTTTCTTTTGTAGAATAATATACTTTGACATTTTATATGATCCATATAAAAGAAATGTAATGTAAATTTTTAGCATCGGAGCCGATATCAGTTTTTCGGTTTATGTTCGTATTTAGGAATAAGAACATGAGCCAGCTAGATTGCTTTCTTCCATTGAAATATCGCAGAAGTTGTACAGATTTCAACTTAAAAGCTTGTTAGCAGCATTGATATAATTCTATATTTATTAACAGCAGATGAAGCAAATTTTAATTTTTTCGAAAAGTGACCTAATCATAATTATTAACGCATTCTACTTACAATAATTAGTAATAATAGGAAATAACAAATTCAGAAATAATGTTTCAACTTAGTTTCTTTGTTTGTCACGCAATCCTGTTGACATGCGCGTTCGATCATTGCGTGAAAAGCATGGTAACGGTTTTGGAAGAAATGCACGCGGACATGTTTGGTTTCACAACCAAAGACAAAAATGTAGAGATTTATATATAGTCGAAGTTTATTTATTTAAACTAGCTTGTACCGTTAAAGCGGCTGCTAGTGTACCTGTACAGATTTTAAAAATACTACATATGAAAATAAATTTGAAACTAAATTTTCAGGCTTATGCGTTCCCCTCCCCCCTTGCTCTGAAAATACCTGCCGATCAAAACCCCCCTACCCTTCCTCCCTAACCCCATAAAAGCCTCCCCCCTTCGCTCACCAGAATTACCCTATCGGTGGCTTTTGGCCCATTTCTTCTGAATCATTTTAAAGATCTCAAAATCTTTTGGTCCCTCTTTCTAGCATCTAAGGCCCATGACGTAGAGAGCCCTCCAAGTGAAAGTTGCCCCCTAAAATGGATCCCAGCGGTTAACCATTTCTTCCCTTCTAGCCCACACAAACACACAGACAGCCGTACTCGTCGACATGAAGTTTTTCAATCTACCGTCGCTTCAAGATTTCTGTTCGCAATACTTAAACATTCAACAAATATTGCCATGAGTCATACGAAATCGTTTAGCCAGTGAGAGTGAGAGCTGAAATCTCTATTTAACTTAGCAGCACCTGTTTGACTGCTACGGAGGGTACCAATCTCGAACCAAGGGTCAATTTGGCTCCTTGTCAGCGGTAAGGCCACCAGATAATGACGATATCGCTGACAAGGAGCCAAAATAATCCTGGGCTCGAGATTGAGAAGGTATTGAAAGCGCACCCGAACAATGTAAAGACAAAGACAAAGAAATCACAACTTCTAATCGGCGAAATTAGAAAAGTATAGAGAAGTCATTAACACATCGAAGTCATGAAAAGGAAACTACCTTGAAAAAAATTTCTTTAACGGAGGCTAGTGAGCAGCACAAAGGAAGACTTGTTGTTGTTGTCGTTATTTTCGTTTATTTCTTCGGACGCGTTTCGTCTTCTCGCTGAAGGCTGGTTTTCACTTGCGACGGAGTCGTAGTGGGAGTCGTAATCAGAAGCGTGGAGCGATACGATCTAGTGAAAATCAAACCGATGGAGTCGGAAGCAGAACACCGATTCTGCCTATGACTCCGTCGCTTACGATCTAGTGAAAACTGCATTGTCGGAGTCGGAAGCGGAACGGAAGAATAAACCAATCACAATGCTCGATTCCATCCTTCCGAAATGAACAAATAGCCGTAACAAATTTAAACGTATGAGCTTGACGGTAAAATTACGAAATTAAAAGTTAAAATACTCGAGCTGAACCTACCGAAACTACGATTCACGATCACCAAGTCGTAGTTCGCTGACGAGGTTAGCATACTCTTCCTAGGCTGCTCGACGTCGATAGATATCACGAACCCAAAATTTCTTTCTTTTTCGAACGATATTATTCCTGCATTGTCTCTGCCTGCGCAAAATAATGATTAATAAGAGCCAAAGTTGCTCTTCGTCCGCCATGTTGTCTTTGGCGCCAAAATTTGTACTTTCACGGGCCTGGAATCGAGCATTGTGATTGATTTAGACTAGGTTTACACTAGAGGAGAGTTTTACGGATTCGTAAATGTTTCCGGATTAATCAATTTTGGAGTATTCGGATTCGTAGGCGTTTACACGGAAAGGATATTCGGATTCCTGACCGTTTACACACATCGACAACTCCGGGAACATTCGAAATGGAACGGTTACCAAGCCCAGTGTTGTTTCGTCGTTCGATCGACAAAGTGAAAATGCCT